ACTGTTATCAGAGCCGAGTCCCCTGATGGACCGATATTTATACTAAAAATCCCACCTATTAATTTTCTCCCACGACTACGTCCTACAATTAGTGGACGAGGAAGGTATTCTTCATTTGTAACAGTATCCACGGGAACAATTCTTCGCGGTGTCTCCCAAGGAGAAAATTGATATTTGATCAATAACATTGGTATGTCTTTAGCATTGTAGGAGTTCGATAATTTTAACTTTTGATTTATTTTAGATTTAAAAGTTTAAATTGATGTTAAATTAACACGTACGCCACGCCGTGCTTTGGAAATTCCATACTTACGACAGCAAAATATGTTTAGCAAACCATAGCTACGGCAGCGAAAATTTTTTTCAGTGTAAATTAAACTTGTGGCACAACGAGACTGTTAATACAATCTCGTTCTACCTGCTCTTTGTTTATCGAATTTCTTTGTCACGAATGCGATCGGCCCAGCTCAGAGTCGACCACGCGAGAGCAATGGTGAGGTATCCGCGGAGGACGCGATGGACCGGTGGTACACAGCGACGGGGGGTTAGGCGGGGGGGGATCGATGGGCGAGTCGACGCCTAACCGAGGAGACCGCCTTTTCTCTCTTGCCGTTTCGTTCGTTTTGCCTTCCTTCTCTCCCTGTCCCCTCTGGCCCTCCCTTTCCCTCCTCGCGGCGAGCTCCCTGCGAGAGCGTGCACCTACCTCCGCCTTCCCACCCTCGTTCTCCCACGCTGCACCTGTCGTGCGCACGAGAGCGTCGAGAGAGGTGGTAGAATAAAGCTCCAGCCGGGCGAGCGCGTACTCGGTAAGGTCGAAGCTACGCTAAATCCATTTATCTCGCGTACGTCGTCGGTGCTACGTATACTTTTACGAGTAGAAAAAAGAAATAGAGAGGAGAAGGGAGGGAGAGAAATAATATTGAGCCGTTGAAGAAGCTTTACCGTAAATCTTGCATTTCAAAAAGTGCTTTTCGAAGAATTTTTCAAATCGAGCCTAATCCACATGGAAAGATTCCATTAATTAGCAAGTAATAAGATAAAGTAATTAAAAGCAGGAGGATACGAAAGTTAATAAAAACGTGGTCGCTACCAACTGCACGTTTATGCAATGCTGATCATTTTTCGTCAGCTACACGAATGACGTATTTAATTTGTTATTATAGTAGCAATTAATGCGCATCGTGTGCTGTTCAAGTTTAACTCGACAGAAACCGTGAACAAAGCGTAGCCGGCTTCTTACGTCTCTAACTTCTGCATCGTGATTCGAGTTTCAGAGCACCACTTGGAGTCCAGTCGGGATTCGATTTCGCGCGCACCAGTTATTAGTCTCCAGTCGGGACCCTAAGTTAGCGCGAGAATCGAAGGGTCCTAATCTAATCCCACCTGGCCGATTAAAGGCCGGGGGTCCAAGCGAGGGACGAGCGGGATGGCGATACGGGGATCGTCTCGTGCGTCCTCTCGCTCCGGAGGACGAGGGGCCCGCGCGCTTGGCGTTTATGTGTAATTAAACGTCTCGTTTGGGTGGGCCCGAAGCGCGAGACACTTCTAATTACCGTGGTCCGCTACGATGTCGGTCTGTCTGTTTCGCTTTTGCGAAGGCAGCTTTAGCATGACAATGCCGAAGTTACCGGCGAAGCGATCCGAGCTGTCGGACCCCCGAGACTCTTCGAGTCCATCTGCAAACATATAATCGTTTGTCGAACGTTTGCAATAAGAGACACAATTAGTTGCCTTCTCGCCCGACGCAAAACATAATTGCATCCGCCAAAGTTTTTCCAGCGCACTCCAATTTCTCCGTATGTATATCGTCACGGAATTTCATAGTAATCACTTCGAAGTGAGTTTCACCATGTCGATCTACAATATAAATATAGCCTGCGATACTATTCTTTATTTGTGTATCGATTTCTTTTAATTAAAAAAATCGCGCTTTGCGTGAAAATAAATCCGAAGTCTACCGGTAACAGAAATAAACTGACAGTAATAACTGATATTAATGCCGCAACGCTGATCCAAGCTGTATCGGTGTTCCAAAGTTTCGTTTCGCGCACACGTGTGGTTCGCATATCACGTAATCGTAAATATTTGCAGCGAGCTTAAATGCCGGGCTGACCATAGAGCCATCGAGACCCGGGATTCCATTCCTCGTATCGCGAATGTGATTCTTCTCGGGCGTCGAGACCGAGAACAACCCTTCCATCGTGGAGATTCCCTTCTTCGTGAGGCTCGCGGATTAGTAGGCGTGCACCGTGCACGCCCGCGAGATCCTCTGATAAACGATCCGGCATCGCTGGCAAAGGAAGGATCTTCTTTCCGCGAAAACGAGGTCGAACCCACGTTAGATGCGCGCGTGGGCGGGATGAAGTTTCTATTTTTTTCTCTCTTTCTCTCTCTCTCTCTCCTTTTTTCTTTATTTTTGCACGCGCGAACATATCTGTTCCCGTCGACGTCCCGAAAGCTCGATGAAGTGCTGCCCACTCCTTCGTCAAGGCGGAAACGGAGGTATAAATCTAGATCACCCGCTCGAGTATCATATTTTTTTCCAAGAACCCTTTCTGCGGACGTTTCACTTCTCAATTTAAATGTTAAATTTATATATTTCCTATAAATAAATAACGGGCGCGCACGTGCGCGAAGCCTGCGTTTTAGATAGTTATCGACAATGCAGCGCCGCTATTTCGGGAATGACGGCGGAATATGAAAAAAAAAGAGAGAAAAATGCGGAAGGAAAAACGCACGTGTAACAGCGGGGGTTTAATTTTGATAGGTATTTATTTTCATAATGATGAGTGTGTTTTTTATAATCGATCTATATATAATATACATCGTAGCATTCGGTTTATACATAATTACAATTGTAAATCTCGCTCTCGCTCTTAATGCGTAATAGTAGTAGGGTTTTCGTCGTGTGCGTCGCGGGAGAAGAGGGAACTTCGCTCGCTCTCTCGGGAGGCGGAAATGCAAAACGTAGGATCGTAGGCTCGTAGAAAAACGCGTCCCGCGTCCGTCTCACGAGTACGCGCACGTTCCCGGAGAACATTTCGCGCGCGCCGCGACATCGATGCGCTTCGCCAAATTATATATATATATATATATATTTATATTTATTTATATATGTATAGATACGAAAATAAAGTATATATGTACAACCAAATCGTCTCTCATGGGAGAGGTTCGCGCTCCCGTTTGATCCCGGAACTGACCCCGGGGTGATTTCCTTCTTCAACGTGTAACAACGGGAGCGAACCTCCGGCACCAATTGATTCGCCACGTAAAAACGACAACGCGATTTTACAAGTTCTAGAGGAGGAAGTTACTCGCGGCAGTGCCCGCTACTGGCCGCTCGGATACAATGTATTGATGAATAATGTGTGTTTGTGCGCGCGTGTGTGTGCGCGCGCGCGTGTTTGTGTTGTGGGGGGGGGGGATTTCTAGGGAACAATAAATAAAATCTATCTATTCTCATTTACCTAGCGCGAGACGCCGTCGCTTTGATTTGCTGGTCGATTCACTCGCCCGTCTGTCTACCGAACGCCCGACCGTATCCCCTTCAGCCTTCGAGCTCTCGAGGGTGTTCCCTCTCCTTAAACTAAGATTGCATTTCCTTTTAGCTGCCGTCGTCGCGACATGACGCACGTCGCTCTCCTTCCCTCACCTGCGGGTGCAAAACGCGCACCGCCGGGCTCTCTCTCCCCCTCTCACATTTACAAAACTAATCGCCGTCAACGTCGCATCGCGTCGGGCGCGCGTTGGTAGAACTTAGTCATGATATAGTTACGCATTTACACCGAAAGGTACTAGGTCTGTTTATTATATACAGCGGTAGTAATTGGTTACTGGTTAAATAGTGGCGTTATTCGCTAACGTTACGTTATCACAACGATGATGAAATTTAGCCCTCCGGGGACACCGTATTCAGTGTCCGCACTTCTAACGCTTTCGTTCTCGCTCCTCCCCCTCCGACGACCCTATCCTTCGTCCCTGATTATGTTAAGTTAACCCCCGACGACCGGACAAGACGAGACAGCGCGCGGCCGTCGCGGATTCGACGGTTCGCCCAGGCTCCGTCGTCGGTTCCTCGCCGTCGCGCTCGTACAAGAAATGATCGCACGCCGCGCAAACGTGGAGATCCTCAAAGTCAGGCAGTTTAGTCGACCAGTCAAATCCTGAACTTTTAGGCCAGCCAGTGCTTACAATGCGATTCTCTTCATGACAGTGCGAAAGAGATGTGCTACGGATATATTCGCGCGCTGCGTCGCGCGCTCGCTTCATAGATGGCCAAAATTTTTCAATAAAAATGTATAAAGTGTGTATAGTTATATATATGTATATATATAATATATATAATATATATAATTATATTTATATACGTTTTTATATGAAGACATTTTTACCGGATGATTAAATCAAGAGAAAAAACTTTTTCAAACAATTTTTTAACTCCGTGTTCTCACTGTGCAAACTTCACGAATGGAACCGGTTTCAATGCTATTGCACAACGCAATTTTTGCCCTTTTAACGAAAACAATTTTAATATATTTTTTTACACAGCATTCCAAAATCTCGAACTAATTTCTTTTCTAAAATAATTAAGGAAAGTTATGATTACGTTCCAGCGTGTTACTCCTCCACGATTAAAAACAGCGATATTTTACAATGTCAACCAATATAAAAATATAGAAATGAGAACTTTACATAATCGTGTAAAATTTAAATTTAATTTAAATTTAAGTTAAATAAATAAGCGCACGTACGTATAAATTAGTACGTATAAATAAGTACGTATAAATACGTATAAATAAGTAATAGAATATTTAAGTGTATTCTCTGTAATTTTGCCATTTTAAACTAAATTTATCTAATTTTACTGGGAAAGTGGGAATAAATTTAACTGTTTTATGCGATGTGTTTCCGCGCGTCGCTATAAAAAAACTCATATATCAGGTTAAATAAAAAATGTACATAATAATCCTTTTGCAAAATTAAATTTGTCACTTTTTTTCTCTTGATTTAATAATTGATTTAATAATCGCAATATCATTATTATTGAAATTGGATATTTGCATTATTGAAAATGTTGCATATTAGTCCGATTAATCGAGCGAAATAAAAGCGGCAGCGACCCAGCGCGCGACTCCTACCGTCGTTTCCGACAACGCACGAAATCGAGATTTCCAAATTGACTAGATTAGCCCAACAACTCGCGTGTTGTATTCTGACGTATAAATCTGAGAAATGGGAAGAACTGGCAGGCAGATATTACCGCACTGGAACTGGCTCGTTCACTCCATGGGCAGGCGTTGATCAACGAGACCGCTTGACGTCAGCCACGTTGATGGTCGATCATTCCGCACGCACTCCGCTCGATATTGCACGTTTTTACGCACGTTCGAATAGGGCAACAAGCGTGCCCCGTTCGTGGGGAAGACCGCGTCTAGGTCTGCCGATCCTAGTTAGAAACGAGATCATCGGTGATCGATCGGCCGAATCGAGTCGCCGAGTTAGGATTTTGGCATCACAGTAGAGGATAATAATCGTGTCCGCGGCCGCAGAACGAGATCGGTCACGAGCCGCCGCTAGAGGACAAGATCGGCAGGTCACGGTGAGCCTGGGGGTCCCTGGAGTGCGCGTCCCGCACGGCCCGGGAGCCGAAAACGCGCTCGCAGCCGGGTACGGTGCACCTGGCACCCTCCTCCTTACGATCGTCCGAGCCCGGCGAGGACACAGGCGAGCCTGAGACGGACGCGTGCCTGTTTCCCTGCTCCTGGGTCAGTCTCGTCAGGTGATTGAGATGCTGATGGGTGAGGCCGTTCAGGCCAGCAAAGTGAGACGCGAATGAGGACAGACCCGGAAACGTGGCGCCGAGATGCGGCGGCAGCAGGAGCGGGTGCGGCGGTGGTATCCGGGCTGCCAGGTCGACCGCGGATGATAGTCCGGGTGCTAAGGGGTAGGCACCCAACGCGCCGATACTGGCGTCCGCGTAGAGTCTTGCCAGGAACTCATTGTGCAGCAGCGGATTCATCTGCGAGTCGTCGATGCGCGGCGACAGGCTCGGCGGCAGGCTGGAGGAAAGCGGCGGGCTCGACGAGGTCGACAGCAGTTTCCGGTGCAGGTTGAGATTCGCCGAGTGGCGATCGCGAGATCGTTTCGAGGGGAAGGCCGCGTTACAGCCGTCCACGCTGCACCGGTGCATCAGTTTGAGGTGGACGTTCTGATAGTGGGTCTTTACGCCGAAGTGATTCTGAAAGACCTTGCCGCAGGCGGTGCAACGGCGCGGATTCTCACGGTCGAGCGGCACTTCCTGGGTGCTGACGAAACCGCCGTTCTCGTAACGCGCGTACGTGATCAGGCTATTGTCCGTATCCATGGCCGCTGTGGAGGGTGAGGCGCTGGATGAACGAGAGCCACGTGAGGAGTTGTCCATGGTGATCTCCTGGTGGGTCGTGAGGCTGATAGGGCTGGTAGAGCCGCGGCCAGACCTCGAAGCCACCCGCTGCGTCTCGGCGTACGGCATCGCGCATCGACCCTGCGACAAGGACTCGAGTTGACGCAAAGTGTTGGTCGAGGAGTCGTGGGAGAGGTCGTCGGCTGTCGTCGGACGGCTGTCGACCGAGCTCGGGGCACGGGGGGGATCATCGGGACGCTCACCTTCTGGATTGCGCAGCGCGTCGTCCACCTCCTCCTCCTCATCATCATCCTCCTCGACTTCCTCCATGGGCTCATCATCGTCGTCCTCCTCGTCCTCCTGGTGCTCCTCGTTGTTCGCCGGCCTCCCATCCTCCTGCGTCACCTCGGCGGATTCCTTCTTCGAGATCGCCTCCTCCTTTACCCTTGTTGTCGTTTCGTCGCTCTCCGCGCTCAGTCGTCGATCTTTCAGCTCCGACGACGTCGCGTCGAGATCCTTCGTCGCCGCCGTCGTCGTCATCGTCGTCGTCGCCGTCGTCGCCCCGCTCGACGTGGTACTCGACGACGGCGCGTTGTCGGTCTTTGGTTCCGGGGTGATCTGCCGCTTCGGAGACTTAACCGAGCTCGCCCTCGAACTTAAGTCACGCGGCTCATCCTGAGGTAGCTCCTCCGCGTTGTCTTGAGAGGAGAGGGTGTCGCCGCGACGATTGCTAGCCGCCGCCACCTCGCGCTCTCTAATGCCGGCGTCCGGAGAGCGCGAGTTCGACTCGCGATCGTGAAAGCCACCTTTTTGGTTCCTTGGCGAGCCGGGCAGCATCTTCCGCTCCTCCGCCTCAAGCCTGGACATCGACATGTCCTCCGGTTGATTCTGAAAGTCCGCTATTGGTGCAACGACGCCGTCCGACAGACACCGCCGTTGAACTCGCTGCTCCTCGTCGTTGGAAGAGTCGCCATCGGTAGACGAGGAGTGCACTTCCGCCGGCACGGCGCACCTCGTGGGGTGCTGAGATTTTCTCTTGCGCACGCCCCGGCTGTGGAAGGAACTCGAGTTGAGCGAGTGCTGGTTCACGGAGAAGGGCTGCTGCTCGACCGTGCCCATCGAGTCGTTGTCCTCGTTGCTGTCGGGATTACTGGCGTTGTCCTCGTCGGCGGTGTCGCCGAAGTAGAGCTTCGGCCGCTTCGCCAGACTGAAGTCGGCCGGCTGCTCGTCGTCGTCGGCGCGCAACGGCTGCAATCTCGACGGCAGATTGCTGGTCTCGTCTTCCGCGACCACGACGATACCGCCACCGTCGTCGTCGTCGTCGTCCTCGCCCTCCGGTATCATGGACGACGCCTGGGTGGATGGCGAGACTGCGCTAATGGACGCGCCGCCGCCTCCGCCGTTGCCGCCACCACCGCCGCCGCCGCCGCCGCCACCGGAATACGGGCCGCGCGCCATCGTTGTGGTGGTGATTGACGCGGCGTTCGACATCGGCACCGGCATCGTCGTCGAGGCCGTGGTCGTCGACAGACCCGGGTTCGACATCCTCTGCTGCAGCGCCTCGTCGTACGGTCTGCCCTGACCCTGCGTGCACGACAGGTCTAAATGCTTGAAGTCCAGCGCGCACAGCGACGCCGGCGAGCGGAGATCCGGCGGCGGCGTGAGCAACGGGAACGTGCCGAAGGGCAGGTGATTCAGCCCGGTAGCGGGTACCGGGAGTCCCACCTGCGGCGGCAGCACCAGGGCGTGCGCCATGGACGAGCGGCCGTCGTGCGGGGAGATCTTGCGGCGTAAATGCGGCGAGTGCAGCTTGGGATTTGGATTCGCGCTGTGTCGATTGCGCGATCTGCGCGAACTAAACATCATGCTGCAGCCCTTGACCGTGCACTGGTGCATCTCGCGCAGGTGCACCGCGCTGAAGTGGATCTTCAGGGCGCCCTTGTCGCAGAAGGTCTTGAGGCAGACGTTGCACTGCACGCGCTTCTTGCCGGTGGTGGGATTGATGAAGGGTGTGCCGAGGTTCGGCGGCAAGTTCGCGGCAGCGCTCCATTGGCCGCCCGGTCGCTTGCCCGGAGAGTGCGGCTTCCTGCCAGGTATACCGGGCGGCCTGCCCAACGGCGTCGCCTGGAGCGATAACGGCGGCGGATGCCGTTGCTCGGAGCAAATGGCGTGCTTCGACATACCGGAGTCCCGTCTGCTGAGGTTCAACGCGCTGTCGGAGTTGTCCTCGTCGTCCTCGTCCTCCTCCGAGCCGAACTCGCTGCTCTTCTCGCCGCCGCTGTGTACGTCCACGGGCACGGTTAGCCCGACGATGCTGCCAGGCGATTTGCCCATCGGCGGTGGCGGGAAGTGCGGAAAGCTCGGCGGTAGCGCGCCGGAAGAGACCGCGACCGAGAGCGGATGGCCGAAGGTCAACGCCGACGAGGTGACCGGAGCGACCGGCATATGCGGCCTCTGCAGCTGCGACGCCACGGACGAGTGATGAGGCGGACTGTGGGGACTCTGCGGATTCCTCATGGACTTCCGGTTTTGCAGGAGCTGCTCCGTGGACGGGGGCGGCGGCGGTAACGGCGGGAACGCCGGCAGCCCGAGGGTGCCCAGTTTCCGGAAGTCGAACGGCTGCATGCTCTGCAGCCGATTCAACGGCGACACCGTTAGATGCGAGTCCGCGAGGGAGCGCGGGGGCGAGTTCGCTCTGCTGGTGACACTGGGGTTCCCCGCCGACGAGTAGTGCTTCTGCGCCGTTGGCGATATCGAGGGATGCGAGATCGACGACGACGACGGCGGCGGCGGGGGCGGCGGCAACGGGGGTGGCAGCCGGGAACCCGGCGGTGGTAGGCCGCAGTGAAGCATGTGCAACGGGGGCGGCAGGTGTGCTAGTGGCATCGTCGGTGGCGAAGGTCGTCTGCTCGGTGACATAGCATCCGTACCCGGCGTGCCGGCGGCCAGCAGCAGCTGCTGCACAAACGGACGCGTCTCGGCGAACCTGAGGAACTGCTGCAGGACCAGCGGTTCCTCCTCAGCCGAGCAGATACTCCATCGGTCCAGCACCGGGCCGTTCTGCGAGTCCTGCGAACAGAAGACGAGAAGGATTGGCCTCTTGCAACTCGAAGAAACCGTCGACGAGCGTCGCGCGCCGAGATAGTCGCGGCAGCTTCGTTTAATGGGAAAATTGTGCCGGCGATAATTGCAATTTACTTATATAAGTAGAAAAGTGAGCAAAATCAATGGGAGTTATTTTTAAAGCTTTTCCGACCAGCATTCTAATAAAACAACGTTGATAGAGGGAGGGAGACGAGCAATTTTTCCGAGGCAGTTTCCTGCGACATTCTTCGCGGCGTTCGCAGACCGCCGGTATACTCGAGATTACACTGTTTAGCCTGCGCGGGAAATTACGTAAATGCGCAAATCACGCGGTAAAGAACACGCGATATCGTCGATCAATTCGCACAATTGCCGACGGTGGACGGGGAACGTTTATCCTTATTCGACCGTAATTACACACCGCGATAAGAAAAAAAAAAGCGCTTCCTACATTGTCAACCGTAGAAGGTCACGCGCGTCCCGTTCGCGTTCCGTTACTTTTGTTGAAATGGAATGCGCAAAAAATGGCCGATAAATAAAAAGCTTTGATTGATGACGCTTAATGTAGCGGGTAATTAGTTCTGCTTCGCCTGTTAGCCAAGCGAGATTGCACTTAAACGCGTTAAGGATTTAACCTTGCATCCCGGCGGATATGTATACATACTCTCGATCTGTCTTCCTCTCGCGCGTACCGACTATTAACGACCCGCTTTTTTGCGATTTTGCTTCTCGAGTTTTAGCGATTTGTCATTACGCTCCGCTGGAAAGCCTCAGCGACATGAATAGTCCGATCCCGCGGCAAGTTCCAGTCAATCCCGGAATCAATTCCACAGTTTCGCCGGAAACTGCGCGCATTGGGGGCGTAAAAGTAACGCTTAGGCCCGGTTTTTCATTTTCTGGTTAACTGTTAACCCGAGGTTAGTCGACTCTCCACCTTTTTCTATATTATCACCTGAGACAGGA